CATATCATGGTGGCCAGGAATCAGAGAAGGGAGCGGGGGATGGGAATAATGCCCTCCAGATCATGTCCCACACTATTCTGACCAGACCCCACCTCCTGACCACATTAGCTATCAGGCTCCAATAATTCATTCACTTTTTAAAATCTCACCTGTGAGCACATGAGGCTTTGGGAGGATATCTGTTGGGAACAATGCTACATAATTCTAGGGAAAAATCATTTGGTTAACCTAGTTCTCTTGCCTACAGCCCAGCTACAGAATAACTCCAGTTTGGCCTCCGGTCACAACTGAGACTTCAGTGATCCAGTGATGCTGTGATTTTTTAGGACAAAAAACATCCTGGGAGAACAAACATCTGTTTAGTTCCTCATTGTTCTTGGACTGTTAACATCTTGTTTACCCAAGATGTACTGAGCTCTCTACAAGCCTTTTGTTACGAGATACTAAATAAAAGATACGAGATACTAAATAAAAGATACGGTAAGCTGGGGGCTTTTGTCTTTGCTGCCCTAAACAACATTGATCAGACCCAAAGCTCAGCTTCTTCTCAGTCTCATTTTTCTACCTTTCCTATAATTCGCCGTGTGCTGCCGTGGCTCACAAGAGACCAAGACTCACTACAGAGGTTCTGATAACGTCCCCTTCCCCTGTTCCCTACAGATATCTAGATGTAAACCATAAATCATAAAAATTACCAACTTAACATATGACCTGAAACTGCCAATTATGAACTGTGTATTTCCTGACTCATCAAGCCATAAGGTAACTTTGGGCTGTGGAGCAGGTCCAGAGGTCTTTTCCCAAGGGAGAGAGACCTCCACCAAGGAGCTCAGCAGCAGTTCCAGTAAGCTAGAAATTCTGGCTGCCCCATCTACTTTGGACTTGTCAAGATAATGAACCAACAGGCGAAGCATTATATTGTGATGATTCTGATTTGAAAAGTGCACTTGAGTTGTGATAACAGAGTGAAAATAAGGAAGACCCTCTGAGGCTACCACATAATATGATGAAAATTAATGGGAAAAATTAACAACTGGATAAAACTACTAACACCCCTGATGGGTGGAAGGGAGTTCAGGGTCATTCCAATAGACAAGGAATCAGTACTAACAAGTGATTACAGAAAACATAGAAAGTGTGGAACGGGTACTAGAAGATAAGAGTTATAAATGCCATTTATGACCATACAACCAAAGACAGGATATATTAATGGAGGTTAACTTCTTTAGTCAAAGAGGGTCTCCACTGAGCTAGAAGAGGCTTCACCGTCATCTGAAGATACAGTGACGTGCAGGAGTTGGTATCCTCTTCTGTGGAGAGGTTTAGAATGCTTCTAAATTTTTGATGGACTGAGTGTTTTCATCAGAAGCATGATTTGGCTATTGTCCTTATTTGGAAGGGAAGTTAAATATGGTTTTAAAACAGATGTGATTGAATGCCAGGTTAACGAGTAGTAAAATGTGGTGGTTTGTAATTTGTCCTCTTAGCTACTGTGAAATTCCATTTCATAAGATCTCTTGTAAAGTTCTCCTTTGGCAGATTTGTACCATTATAAGTTAGCTAAGACTAAAATTACCTTTCTCAGAACCCCCTTCTCTGTTTGCTTCTGGATCAGAGTTGGCCAACAGAAAATTTGCACAAGATTTTGGAGGTGGAACTTGTAGGGAATTCAGTTATACCATCCTCAAATATGTCACTTCGGCATAAAGATCATTTTGACCGGGAGGCAAGTGGGAGTCAACAAATGCAGAATGATGTATTCCCATAGCTTCTGTATCTTACTAAAAGCAGAAACTTCTGAGAACAAGGAGCGTCAGGCCTGGGGATGTAGCT